GAGAGAGAGAGAGAGAGAGAGAGAGAGAGAGAGAGAGAGAGAGAGAGAGAGAGAGAGAGAAACAAACGATAATTTTTCTGGAAAGCGGGACGACAAAGAGACTCCTCACGATGGGGAGAGACAAAGGGAACGCAGCGTGAACTGGGCGACCCCGATGCCGAGTTGACAGCTAGACGACAAAAGCCAACTTGGGATCCTGACTCTCATGGGGCCGGCTTCGCGAGGATCTTATTGCAAATCTAAATAGAGAGGTGGGGGTTCGTCCATGGATAGAGAGCGGGGTTTCTTAGAGAGGGAGGGCTCAGAGCGGGGTTTCGTGTATCCCTTTCCCAAACCTTACCCTACTAGAACAAAGATTAAAACATCCTCGCGAAGGCTACGGTACAGCAGTACGGCACTTATGCGTCATCATCACCTTGCTCATGCCCAGCTTCGACACGAACAGCGTCTCGGCCTGCGGCAGCGGGATGGGGTCGGCCTGCCCCGTCGCCATCTCTAGGATGCCCAGCATCTGCTCCAGTTTGTCCACGTCCAGCTTGCCCTTCTCGGAGGGGGGTCCCGACAGACCGTACCGAGGGTGCTTCTCCAACCACTCCTCGTCCTCCATCTGTGAAAATGAGGAGGGGGGGGGTACTAATGTAAACGCATGGCCTAGTCGCTAGACCATTGAACTCGCCCTAGAATGCAGGGGCGGAGCGACATAGGGGGGGGGGATAGTGATAGAATTATCAACACCTTTTCCACCAAAAAAAATGGAATTGCTGAATCGGGATGTCGCGGCCAATCTCCGTCACCGTCACCCCCGGAAAAAAACAATCCACGCGCCCTACAACGTATGCATGTCCCAGTGAAACTAACTCTTTGGAGAGGTAACATGGTCGACTGCGGTAGGCACCGTAGGTGACGGTAGACATCACACCCCCAGGGTCGATGTTCAAAACTGTCTTGCTCCATGACGGGACAGGTTTATTATGTAAATCAAATCTCGGGCAAGCAAGCTCTCGACGAGACGAGACAGTCCCAACGCCGCCATTCTCGGCACCGAAGTTGTTTCGGCTGTGGAGTCATCGAGCGTTGAAAATCAGAGATGGATTCGTTGTGTCACATCAAGAAAAACAAAAACAAAAATCCCAAGGGGGGTGCGATATCTTACATCTTACACGTCATCTATGGTACATACGTACATCTTGTTACCCTCTTCCCGCCGCCACGCAGGGAGAAATCTCCCATATGTTACTTCGAGCCGGGGTCGGATCTACGACTCTCACCTCCAGCGAGTACTCGCACGTCGCCACGTCGTCTTCGCCCCCAGTCCTCCGGGGGAACCGGATGTAACCGTCGGGGACCTGAAAATCGCTCATCTGCTCTGCCTCGTAACCTGTTCGGGATTATCGGGACACAGCAGCAGCAGCACGGAGGCCGGCCAAAATAAGAGGGGGCTGGGTGGGATCGGGTGGCGCTTTTCTCCAACCGCGAAAACCGCCCCGCGCAAGCTCCCTCCGGAGGACAGCCATCTAGCCAGGCTAGGATGCTCGGTGAAGGATCTGGGGTCCTCCCGTCGGTCCGTTCGATCTGTTTGTTCTGGGTCAAACGCGTCGTCCTATTCCATTCAAATTTTGTTTCGTGTTTTCACAGGAAAAGACGGAGATAAGCCAGGAAGAGAAAAGGAGAGATCAACCACTACTGTTGCCAGTCACGGGGGGGGGCGAGTCTTCGCTGGTTTTGACAGCAAGTGACGCTGGTTTTGACAGCGGCAATGCTAAGGCCGCTATGTTCTCCGCAGACGGCTAAAACGGCGATGATCGCAGTGCATGCCGCGCTGCCCACGCGACAGGCAAGAATGGTGCACTGCAGCCCGCTGTGTGGCGTCATGTCGAAACAATGTCACTACTGTCAATACTCGCCAACTAGAGACACGAGAAAAAACAGACAACACACCCACCATAACGCCCCCCTCACGGGGTCCCAGATCATAGTCTTGAGAAGCATTAGCATTTCTCTTTTCAACCGCACCGACACTGAAGTATATCAATGGCCAGTCGGTTAGCGCGGTCGATGCTGACAGCAGCAAGGACGCACACACGCCACCATGAACACCCAACAAATCCGCTTGAAAACAGTCTATGGATTCGTCGCGCAACTCCTCACCAGGCACCGTGGCGATGATCGGTGTGGGGATGTCTCTCTTGCGGAGAGGGGGCACAACCGTGGCTCGCCCTCCTTCCGCCCCTGCCTCCGATTCCCCCAGCGCCCCCCCGTTCGCCTCCTCCGCCTGACGAGAAATACAACAAAAAATGTCAAGAAGGTTGTCAACGACCAAATACTTGCTCGGCGTCAGACCGTATCGGTTTGGGATGTACAAGGGAAGTAATGTACGTGGATGTCAATCAGCATCAACAGACTTGAGCAGAGCACACATGAGACAATAATACCACACCACGACCCTCCCCCATGAGAACATGACGCTACCACCGGAAGCGACAAATCAGCAACATCAGCATTAACCAGCACCGCCACCGCCAACAACGACGAAGAGCAACAAGCACAGCCGGTAAAAGGGGTTCAACTGCACTACAGCAGTGCCACAGCGGTCCCGCATAACACCCGCAGATGCGTACCCTCGATGGCGTTTGCCATTACCCCGAAAAACGACAACAACCGCTTTTCACGGGTTTACGAAGCACACGTCGATACTTGATCGAAAAACAACTCTGTTCCTCGACACCACAAACAAGAAAAACTCTCATTACAACACGCGTTACCTCGTCTACCCGTAACACCGCCAGCGGTTTGTGCATATCAACAGGCCGTGGCCGAATGCTCTTGCGGGGGACAGCCGGGATCGACCCGCCGCCCGCCGCGGAGCCCCCATTCTCCCCGCCGTGCCCCCCGGCCCCGCTGCCGCCGCCGCCGCCGCCGCCGCCGCCGCCATCGCCTCCACCGCCCGGAGCAGACCCGCCCGCCCGCCCCGATCTCCTATCTCGAGCCACCTTGACTACCGCGGAAGGCTCCTCTGCTGTGCCGAACAAAAAAAGAAAAAGGGGTGGTAAATATTTTCTAATTTCAAAGCAGAGGCGGGTAGATAGGAGGTGGTTGGTGATACCTTCGAAGTATTTAATAACACTAATTGTTGGCGGGATGGGGGGGGGGGGGGGGG